GGTGAACCTCCTGCCTCAGTCTCTCAAGTGCTAGGATAACAGGTGTGGGTCTCTACACCCAACTTGTTTTTTGTTTTTGAGCCAGGGTCTCGCTATGCAGTTCAGGCCTTGAGCTCATTTGTGGCCCAGGATAGTCTCAAACTCAGTGATCCTCCTGCCTCAGCCATCTGAGTGCTAATTACAGGCATGTGCCACCACGCCTGGGCTTTGTTCGAGACAAGGCCTCTGTATAGTTCAGGCTGGCCCCAAACTCATGTTAATCCTCCTGCCTCAGCCTCTCAAGTGATAAGATTATAGGTATGCACCACCACACCCGACTGGACAGTCTTACTATGGTTTTCCCCCCTAAACACTGGAGATTAAACTCAAGGCCATGTCCCCAAGGTTCATCCTCAGCCCTTTTTATTTTGAAGACAGGATCTAATTGCTAAGTTGTTCAGGCTGGGCTATTTGTGATCCTCCTGCCTCAGCCTTCCAGAGTACTAGGACCACAGGCCTGCACCACCCCCCCAGCTCACTGTGTCCCTGAGGCTGCCCCCTCCCCCCATTTCCCAGCCTCTCCCTCCCTCCCGCTCCAGCATGGGCTTCAACCTGGCCCTGACCATGTTCAACTCCAAATTCGTTCTGGTCTTCTTGGAATAACCCAGCAGCCAGTCAAAAGCAATGGAAGGGTCTGTGGGACCCAGGGGCAGATGATGCCCAAACCTGGCCCGGCCTCCTCAGTGTTGGGCTTCAGTGTCAGTGCTGGTGGCATGAGCCGGGGCCCGCACTGTCCTGAGCCCAGGTCAGTCGCACGCCAGCTGCCTATATGTGTTTACTGAAGCTGTGAATGCCGCACGCACTTCCAGCTCTCCAGCTCTATCCTTTCTCTGGAATGACCACGGGATGAAGTCTTGTTTTTGCTTCGAGATAGGGTCTCACCTATGTAGCCCAGGTTGACCTCACAGCGTGAGGGCCCTGTCCAACATACATGGGGGCCTGGCCTCAACCTCAACACCACACACACACACTCACATACAGTGACCTCACAGTAAAGGGACCCAAAGGACACCTCCCTCATCTAGGTGACCGGAGGTACACAGGTATCCATGCCATGAGGTGACAGTGACACTTGACTTCCATCCTCTTCCTCCCAGAAACCCAAAAATCTTAGTCCAATCTTAAAACACCTGACAAATTCCCAGGGAGAAGTATCCCACACGGCACCTGAGCAGTGCTCTTCAAAATTCCTGAGGTTAGAGCTGGGGGTTGTAACTTGGCAGCACAAGGCCTGCTTGGCAAGTGCAAGGTCCTGAGTTCAATTCCCACGCCAAGAAAAAAAAAACCCAGGATGTCAAAACTGTGGAAAATCTGATAAACTGTGGCAGTCAAGGACCCTGTGGATGACACCACTAAGTATAGTTGACACATGTGTCCGGGGTGGGACCCTCGGCCATAAAAAGGCCCCAACGCAAACAGAGCCGAATCACGGTGCAGGCCTGTAGTCCCTGTATTTGGAGGCTGAAGCAGGAAGATCATGAATTTGAAACTAGTCTGGGCTACAAAGCCAGGCCCTGTCTCAAAAATAAACGAAACAAAACAACTGAAGAAATCTGAGCACAGAACAGTAAACAGGTCAGCGTTGGCTCGTGCACTGTAACACACGTATCACCTGAGGTAAGAATTAATAAGCAGAGTAACGCGTGGGAACACTACGCCCCCCCTAGTTTCTGTAACCCTAACCTCAGAAATAAAGCGCAGTTTTTTAGAACACGTGGGTTTCTTTGGTTGTTCTGAGACAAGGTCTCACTATGTAGCTCAGGCTGGCCATATCCCAGGCTGGACTTAAAAAGGAAAGAAAATGGGCCTGGCAGGGACCAAGCGAACAGCCTTAACCAACCTGGAAGGGGCGCTGCCGGGAGGAGCAGCCCTCTGTCGCCCCCGTGTGGCCGCCCTGGGCCTGGCACCATCCTGGTGGGGTTCAGCAGGTGAGGCTCCAGGCTAAGGCCTGGGCAGGAGGGCAGAGCAGAATCGGATCCCATCAGGGGCGCACCAGGGCAGGCAGCGCGGAAAAAACAAGAACCTGGCCCAGCGTGACCCAGGATGGTGGGTACTGGGGAGCAGAGAGTATCCTTTTCCTCCTCTTTGGCGCAAATTCAGTCTTCCCCAAGAGCCATCACAGAAAATTGCTGAGGCGCCAATGTATTCTGAAAATTGATGATTTAAGAATCACTCGTGGTGGTCTGCCAACTTGTGGTGGCTTCTAACACCCAGCTGAGCTGAGCCAGCAGGGTGCCGGGTGTGGGAGGCCCACTGAGGACTGCTGCCAGCGCGCCAAGAGGCAGAGCTGGAGAGGACGCTGTCGGGAGCTGCTGGAAGCGCTGGTCCTCCTGGGCTGCTCTGGAGGACCTTGTCGGCTGGATTTCCCAACGAACTCAGCTGCTGGGACCTCGCTGCTGAGGATGACTGCAGTTCAATTTGGGGGCACTCCGGTCCTCACCCTGAGCATCACTTCCTGGCTCTGGAGGGGAGGATGGTGCCCTGCTCAGCCTTCTGGAGAAGCCCAGTGTACATCGGCTTTCCTCATGGGAACTCAGCTTTCGTCACCCTCAGAGGAGCTCGGGACCTCACTGTTGCTGAGGATGGCTGTGGTGTTTTTGCGGGGGGGCGCTCTGGTTCTTCCTTTGAGCATCACTTCCCGGCTCCACCGCAGGGCCCGCAGCCTGCTGGCACAGATCCTTCAGCCCACTGGCACAGATTTCTTAGCTTCCACCACTGACCTTTAGGCCTTTCCAGGGCAGATCTGTGAAGCGGGCCTGCGTGAGACATTGTGATGGGCTCTAGGCCTCAGGTCAGGCTTGTGGGAGGCACTGCTACGGGCTCTGGGCCTTCAGCTGGACTCATGCAGGACATTACAGGATCCAGCCTCTCAGCTGGAGTCTTTGGTGTTTAGTGTGTGGACAGCCTACACTCTGTATATGATTCTTTGGGTGACTCTTATAATCTTGTAAGTAAGTGTCCTGTGTTGTACTGTTCCTCTTGCAAATCAAACTACAACAATCAGAGATCTGGTGTGGTACACTCACCTGTAATGCCAGCACTAGGGAGGCTGGGGCAGGAGATCCCCATGAGATTAACGCCAGCCTAAACTACATAGTGAGACCCCCATCGCAAAAAAAATTCCCAGTACTAAAAAAAAAAAGCTGCACAAAGGACGCAGGGGCCTGGCTCCTGCCCCCGCCTTTGCAAAATCCAGAACTGCTATCAAGGGCCTGCTTAGCAGCAGAGACCAGAAACCAGGAGGCTACAGGGTAGAGACAGGACACACTGACACGGGCTAGGAACTCGTACCTCATCCAGAGTTTATTACATGAACCATTTCTTCACTATGAGCCACTGCTTGTTGCTGGAAATACTGTCCCCACGCTGACCCTCAGCTCCCAGGAAGAGAACAGAGAGCCAATTCAGAGGGGGCCCAAGACATGGGGGGCAGGGCTGGGGATGGGGGAGGGCAGTGTGCCAGGGTCGATGCCTGAAAACACACATCCCACAGAGCAGAGATGGGGCATCGGCCCCTACCCCACCCAGCGGCCGCAAGAGCATCTGGGAAAGACCAGGCATCCGGAGACATTTCAGTTCTTCCCGTCATGAAGCGTCGGCTGGGTGAGGCAGGGTCAAGGTCCTAAGCTGTGGAGAGAACGGAGATTGAGGGCGGGCAGCACAGAGGGTGGGGGCAGCACAGAGGGTGGGGGGATCACAGATGTGCGCCACCATGCCTGGCACAAGACCCTTCCTTGAAATAAGGTTGACTCAGGAGAAAGGCCTTGGGTTCAATTCCCAATGTTGCCAACGGAAAAGAGAAAAAATCTCTAGGAAATGGAATCTGAGCTGAAAGCAGTTGGAAACCAGTGTGCTGGCACAAAGCATGCTGGGAGCTGCCATGCCCACTGTGTGGAGGGGGACATTCGATTCTAGACCAAGGCCAAGGCCTGTAGACTGATCCAGAGATCCAGGGATGGCAGACTGCAGAACCCAGATCTGGTAGGTGGGCAAGCCCACTCTGGACTCGGAAACAAAGGCAGGAAAACAAAACCAAACTCAGAGAGCACTGCAAGGCTCACTTAGAATGACCTGGAAGCAGATGTTCTTAAATCCAAATTCGAAGCTGGTGCAAAGCACACAGAACAGCGCTGTGCTGGGGAACACATCCCAGCTGGCATAGCCCTGCCATCAGTCTAGGAAGGGGACCTGGGACCAGGCCACACTGGGAGGTACTCCTGAGATTGACACGGGGCCACCTGTGGGAGCCGGGGGCCTGCTCTGGGGTGGTTTGGGAGCAGGGCACCCTGCAGGTCCTGCAGCTATAGGTCTCCAGGGGTGTTCCTAGAAGGATGGCAGGAATGGTGACCAGTGATCCCTCCAGGGTCAGGCATAGGACTTCTACCTCCCACACTCCAGGAACTCTGACTAACTCTCGGCTCCATGGCCCACAGGGCTGGGAATTGCTTCCTGGCAGAATGACGAAGACTTCAGCGCTTCTCCTTACCAGCAGGGAGCCCTCTGGCCCCCAGGGCTGCGCCAGCTGCCCATGCCCTTACCTCTGCCTTCAGGGAGTGCTAGCCCCGAGCCAAGGCAGCTTTGATGGCAGCCACCAGTTTCCGGAACTTGCTGTCTGTGTCCACGAAGCCATCGCCTCCCTAGAAGGGGAAAACAGAGGGAGAGGTGGGCTGGGCCCAGCCAGACAGCAGGCCACACCACACTGTCCCCAAAGGCAATGCCCATACCTTCTTGGAGTGAACCAGCTTCCCGGCAACGGTCACTTCAAAGAAACCGGTGGACTGGGGAGTCCCCTCACCACACTGAGGAGAAACAGATTGGGTGGAGTAGGCTCAGTGCCCTCCTGGGAACATCCTCCCCTTCCCAGGGTGTGGACACGAAGTGAATCCCTTCATTGATATATATCTATGACAGGATCTCACTATGTAGTTCAGACTGGCCTTGAGCTCTCTTTGTAGCCCAGGCTGGCCACTAACTCACAACAATCCTCCTGCCTTGGCCTCCTGAGTGCTGGGATTATAGATGTGCACCACCTAGACCAGCCTTTCCTTCAGCCAATCTAAGTCACCCACCAATCCCCAGGGGGCAGACAAGCCTGACCCCCCAGTTCTCAGCCCGAGACTCACGATATCTAGGCATCCGGGGAACTCATCTTCCAGCTTCTCCTTGAGCTGGAGATACTGAGAATGGAGAAAAGGGGTCAGCTCCTGCCTGCAGCAGCACCTCCCCAAGCACACCCCAGGGGGAGCTGACCCTTACTTACCTTGGGCTTGTAGCCTCAAGCGCCACTGGTGGGCAAGGTCAGGAGCCCAGATCCAGGAGAGCCAGGAGCAGGCATGTGAGGGTGTCCAGGAGAGAGAGAGAGAGAAGAGTGACAGAGAAAGCAGCAGGAGACAGTGACATCCCCTCCGCAGAGAGAAGCCACACAGACACAGAGTGAAGGGGACACCCGACCCAAGCAAGGAAGGCAGAAGCCACACAAGAGGAGGCAGGAAAAGGAGTGGTGACAAAGCAAGGCCAGTGAGAGACAGATGCAGTGACAGGGAAGAAAATCGACAGAACTGCGTTAGGAAACAGCTGCACAAATCACGTGCCTCCCTCTCCAAGCCACAGCCGCCTGTCACTCCTGAAACCGCCTGTCACTCCTGAAACAGGAAACTTGCCCAGGAGGAAATAGGAGCTTCCCAAGCCAGCCAGCCTCGGTTCTGTGGAGCACCTGGCAACGTCAGAAAGCTGGGACAGCTCTGAGGCCTCTGGGTGTCACGCAGACCCAGGCTCAAAATGCCCTGTCACCCACGATCTGGATGAGAAGCAGATTTTTGCTTTTGAGGTGGGGTCTTGCTATCCAGCCCAGGTGGGCATTGAACTTTTGATCCCTGAGGGCCCCGGATGACAGACGTCAAATTGTTGACCAGACCCTGTCTCACTCCAGCCTCAGTTTCCTCAGCTGTAAGATGAACAACTCACCTCCCACCCTGGGTGTGGGGAGGAGAAATTCCCTGGAACGGTATTTATTTAATAAGCGCCTACTGCGTGCCAGCATAAGGTCACATGGCGGGGACACACACTGTTTAGCAAAAAGGAGAAAACTGCATGTCTTGCTAAGACTTGCCCGCTAGCGGTGGGAGGAGAACAAAAAGATATTTATATGTCTAGTATTGGCCGCAGCCTGCACCTGCAGTAACTGTTGGGACCAGCCCACTGCACTCAGATGAGGAAACTGAGACCAGAAAAGGAGTGGGCTTAGCAACAACGGGCACGCACTAAACTGGAACCCAGAGTGTTGTCGTTCAGCCCTTTTCTTTTTATAAGAAGGATCTCTCTGTGCACTGCAGGCTGACCTTTAACTCAGATATCTATCTGCTGGAACTCACTACGACCCCGCTGCCTCAGCCTCCCTGTGCTCAGACCACAGGCCTGTGCTGCCACGCCTGGCTTCGTTCAAGATCTTTGCAACCCTGGCAAAGGGCATTCTCCCAACCGAGGCTGCTCAGGATGCGGGGCGGGGACACGAGGCGCCGCGAGCCGAGCGAAGGCGGATGCGATGCGCGCGCCTCTGCAGCACCTCTCGCGGCCCGCGGCCAACGGGCAAGGGCGCCACCCACCCAGGAAGGGACCCCGAGGTCCTGCCCCCAGGCCCCAGCCCCCCTTCCCACGGCAGGAGGACGGTGTCGGTGGGACACGGCCAGGGAAACGGGATGTGGAGCACCGGACAGAGGCGACTCTTACCAATAAACGACACGCACCGCAACAGCCATCGTGGTAAACAGCCGCAATGCAACCAACGAGCGACCACCACCTGCGCCGCGCAGCGTGCATGGCGCATGCGCAGACCGCGGCGTGAACCCATGTCGGGGTGGGGGAGGACGGGCGGGGAAGGGCAGGAACGGGGCAGAACGCTGAGGCCGGAGGGTGGGCACGAGGCCTGGCCCGACGCCTCAGTCGAAGGTCCCTCCGTCTAGTCCCCATGTGGGGCCAGAGCGGGGGTTCCTTGGCCGAACCCGCTGGGCGTCTCTGTCTGTCTCCCCCCTCTCTGAAATGGTACGACCTGGGCGGAGCTTTACCCCAGCCTCTGGGCGGAGCCAGGAGCAACGTGGGCGTGCGTGGAGGCGCGGAGCTGTGAGGCTGCGTCCTCCTCAGAGGACCTGATTCTGGGAGGCCCCGGCTCTGACGCGGAGATGCTGTGAGGTCTGGGGAGCCTCCGTGTCCACCGGCCTCCTAACACCCGGAGGCCAGGACCGAACCCTGGTCTCTGTCCTTGGCTACGCAGGCGCTTTGTCCGCTATCTCGCCAACCCTGTTTCTTTGTTTTTTGAGACAAGCTTTCACTGTAGTTCAATTTGCCTGAACTGACCGTGCTCCTCCTGCCTCGGCGCCCCCATGCTGGGATTGTGGGCATACTGACCAGCCCAAGCCTACTAAATCATCTTTGGCCCCTTCCTCCAATCCCCAAACCGAAGGATTGGTGCAAAGTGCTGAAATTGGGCCGCTGAGCTGGATGATGAAGAGAGACACCTTTCTCTGAGCCTCGGTATCCCCCTCTGGAAAACACTGGTGATCACCTGCAGGGGATGTTTGCTCATTTATCAATACGTTCTGGTCCTGACTGCAGAGCTACATTGATGGAAAAACAACCCTTCCCACACGGCAGAGATTCAGCGAGCGGGATTCAGAGAGCAGGAAAGCGCCTGCGGGGATCTGTGACGGGGCCTGGGGCTGGGGCAGCTGCCCGACCAGCGCTGCCCCTGGCTTCCGCTTCCAGCCTGGTCTCCTGCGGCCGCAGGGCCCCAGTCACTAGGCAGGTGGCTAAACATCAGCCGGCCTCAAGGAGGAAGGAAAGAAGACAGTATGTATGACATGATCATTCCTTAGCTCTCAGATGCACAGTAATTCCAAAGAGCCCAAAGAACATCTTAAGATTATAAATTTCCCTTCCTTCTTTTTTTAATTGGGGGAAATGTTTTGGTTTGTTTGGGGATTTGTTTGTTTCATTTTGTTTTGCTTGAGACAGAATCTAGTAGTTCAGTCTGGGCCTGAACTCACTGTATAGCCCAGGTGGGCCTCAGACTCAGAGACCCTCCTTCCTCAGCCTCCCACGTGTGTGCAGGAATCACAGGCATCAGCCACCAGGCCCAGCTCTTGACTGGTGTGTGTGAGTGTGTGAGTGTGTGTGTGTGTGTGTGTGTGTGTGTGTTTGAGAAAGGATCTTGCAGGCCGACCAGATAGCTCAGTGGATTAAAGCACATGCTTAGGCAGATTCAGGGACCCGGTTTCAATCCCTGGCCTGCCATGCCAGCCCCAGGGGTGCTGAGTCGGTGACTGAGACTGGGAGTGGTGGCACGTGCCTGTAATCTCAGCGCTTGGGAGGCTGAAACAGGAGGATCACTACAAGTCTGATCTGTGTAGTGAATACTAAATACAAAAAAACAACAACAACAAAAAAAAAAAAACAGGGCCTTGCTATGCACTTTAGGCTGGCCTTGAGCTCACTTTGTAGCCCAGGCTGTTCTCAAACTCTCAATAACCCTCCTACCTCAGCCTCTGGAGTTCACTGAATTTTTTCATCAAGGCCACAAAGAACCAAGGACCAAGAAGTGAGGATCCCTTTCCTTGCTGCATCAGGGCCCCATCTCAAAAAATAAAGTTTGTTCTTTATTTATGGAGTTTTGGAAGAACAGTCTTGCTATGTAGCCAAGGTTGGCCTCAAACTCACTGCAACTTTCCTGCCTCAGTCTCCCAAATTCTGGATTACAGGCGTGGACCACCACACTCAGTAAAAACAAAATAATATTTTTTTAAAATAAAGGTTTTAGAGCAGACTGAGGATGAACGCCAGAAGACCTGGATCTCAGCTAAAGGATGGTATTCCAGTTACTGAACTTCCAGCAAGTGGGCCTTCTGAACATGATCTTCCTCAGAAAGGTTTTTTTCTGTGTGTGAAAAATGAACTGTTGAGACCGTGGAGATGGCTCAGTAGAATAAGCGCTTGCCTGGCAAGCGCAAGGGCCTGAGTTCAATCCCTGGTTCCACAAAAAAATTAAAAATTTAAAAAATAAACTGTTACCAAGTCATGCTCTTGAATTATTGGAAAAAAATTTCCAGCTCAACCAAGATAAAATGAATTTTTTCCACACTGAGGAACATCCAGGGTCTCTTTGCGCCTCTAAAATTACAAATGGAATACAAGGCAATACAGCAGGTTCAGCGTCTTCCGTTTCTTTCTAGCTCAAACCTTTCACTGGATATTTTCAGGGGTAAGGATGAGACTATCAATCAGATTTGAAGATATTCTCGGGGGCCAGGGAGATGACTCAGTGGAATAAGCGCTTCTCTGGCAAGTGCAAGGGCCCGAAAATAAAAAGAAGAAGAAGAAGAGGAGGAGGAGGAGGAGGA